ATACTTGTTTCCTGCCGTCTTTTGTAAACACAGCCTGCAGTTCTTCTCAGTTTAGCTCAAACATGCATGAATTTTTGTCACATGATTGTTGTTCCCAACTAAGTTACTGATGGCTGTGTGGTTGTGCAGAGAAGCTGATCATTTTTAGTTTTTTGTGGAATCTGTTTCTAGCAAACGGGTTATTTTTGGCCAGTTTTTACATGAAACATGTCGAAGAAGGTGATTTTGATGAAACACTTTGCTTTGCAGCTTAGATTTGGTTCATCTTTCCAACTGAACGGTCAAAAAGTTCACAGTTTGGTAATTCTCTCTGTTTTGACAGCATCTGATTGATAAATGGTGTCATTTTGGCAAATATATACATTTTTAAAGGTGCCTCTCAAACATGCTGCCGCTTTTTGGGGTTCAGAGGCTAATTTAATTATTTAATCAACTGATAATATTCCCAGACAGATTTCCTGGACTGATGAAGTGTTTGTATTTCCAGCAGCTGGATTAACTGCAGTGAACAGGTCGCTGCATCATGAAGATCAGCTGTGAGGATTATTATTCTGATATCAAGCTGCTGGGAAGAGATCAATAACGTTATTATTATTATTATTATTATTATAAAGTTATTTGCTCTGGAAGACTGCAGCTGCGTTTAATAATTTGCATTTTATCGGGTCAATGACTGAACAGCAAATTTGAATGAATATTTTTTTTTTTACAATTTATATTTCACTATTTACAAACACAGCAAACATTAAGTGTTAAAAAATATTTTGTCAGCTTTTGCTAAATGACCTATTAGTTCAACCATTAATGGATTATTAATGATTAACCTTTAAATTTTGCATCCGTTGTTGAGGTAATAGAATTTTTGTGCTGTGGAATTTAGAGGAAAACGTTGAACTTAATCTGACAGCTTTTTACAAATATCAGAGGTTTTCATACAAAACAGAAGAACAACTGATCAAACGTGAAGGTTTGTTATAAATTAAAGTCCTGACTGTACATCTAAGAAGTGTTCAAACCATTTTAAGTCACTTTTCCTACACAAGTGCTACAAATATTTAACAAGATTTGCGTGTTAATTTCAGTTAATTGTTGGTTTGACCGAAAGCAAGTGCTGAGAGGAGGTTTTTACTTGATGCAGAACAAAGAAAATACAGTAAAAGAAGAAGTAGTTTTAGGAATAACGAAAAGAAACGCTCTCAACAGAAGCAGGGAACCAGCAGGGAAGAGCTGGCAGCCACCAAAATATTAATATAAAATTAGATTTCAGAGAATCCAGAAACGCAGGCGTAGCGCATAAAACCGGCATTAGATGAATGTTACAGATTGTGAAAGTAAATTAGAAACGACAGCCACCTTCAGCTGACCATCTGAGGGTTTCATAAGTCTTACAAACCCAATAATCAATTACAAAATCAATAATATAATATTCTAATAATTATCTGCAGCCTGTAAGATAATCAAAATCAGCACCAGCTCTTCAGATTTGCCACAAAAGCTTCACTAATAATGTCTAATAATAATAAATAACAGGATAACTTTCACATGTAAGGTCTCTGGACTGATTTTAAAACCTCTCCCCTCATCGCAAACTCAACTTTAAAAATACAAAATGAGCCTGAAGCTTAGTTTTTATTTTGCAACCTGAAATCCACATCCAGGACTCTTCAGCCACAGTTCACGTCTGTAGCTGCACCATCAACGAAAAGTAGCCCTGAACAAGATGAGCTTCACTGCTGCTGTAAACCAAAGAAGGAAATGTCAAGAAAAGATGAAAGAGAATGCGTAGAAGCCAAACGACGTTCAGAAAGAGCTCCAGAGCTTTAGGCTCAGTTTCCAGGACTTTAATGAAATCGAATCCTGAACCAAATGCTTTTCAGGACGGCGGTCTTAAAGAGACAGGAGCTGAAAGGAAGCATTTCAGGCAGAAGAAGAGCTGCAGTGGTGTTCAGAATGTGTTTCTGAACATTAAAGCAGGTAGACATGTTATCTAGAGCCCAAAAAAACATTTTTAAATCTGTAAATGTGCAGAATTTGGGCCCTTTAAAAGAGACAAATGAAGCAATTTGATGAGACCAAGTGTAGAAGGAGGACTTGATGAGGCTGATGAACTTTAATTCTCAGAGATGTGCTGATAATCACATTATATCAGAGGCAACCTGCTGCTGTGGACTGCAGCTGGTTAATGCTTTATACTAACAGAGCGCTGGGTTCTGGCTCGCTCTGCTGCCAGATGAAGTGGATCAGACTCTTTATTAATGGTGGAAGGAAGATGAAGTGTAAACTCGGGGTGGCGGCGTCCTCCCTAACGGAAGCAGGGCTCGGCCTCTTCTCACACTGATGTGTCGTTACGTCCCACGTCAAGCCCAGTCTGATCTGAGGACAGTCAGAGGCACCGCTCGGTTCTTCTTCAGCTGCATATAAACTGCTGCTGCTGCTGCCGACGGAGGACGACCTGAGCAGCTGGAGCAGCTGGAGCAGCGGTAAGTGACATCCTCACCCTGTCCCACATGTATTCACACCGTTCTGTTATACGTTGTAGTGAGGTTTGGGGCTGTGCAGGTCATCTGTTGCTCACTATTTACACTTTTTTTTACATGACAGCTTATTGCACACATCATAGATTTTTTTTTTGCATACTTCTTATTATCTGTATTTTATCTTTTTTATTACCTCACTAAGTCTTCAGTATGTTTAAGTACTGAAGTTAATTGAGCATGAGTTTAATTTTCAGTGTCAGATGTTGGTCCCTGACTGTGATTGTAGCTGCAAAGAGGATTAATAACGAATCTGTCAAATTAGCTCACAGCAGAGTTTACAGCTTAACACTGTCAGGAAGTTCTTATCATTAATTTACTGTGATTTTTTAAAGGTTTAAATGTAGTTTTAGTTCAGCTGCAGGTCGTCTGTGATGGATTCAAACACAAAAATACAAAAGTAGGACCTCAAAAATGAGCTTAAAGAGTTAAAAGTGAAAGTCCTCAGTACAGAAAAGTTGTTCTTGTTACTGATGTTGATTATATTTTCACAGTTTTATTCCTAATGCATGTTGTGCTTGTACTTTGTCCAGGGCTACATGGATTAATCTGTCGATCCATTAATAAATTGATTATTTGGTTTGTAAAAATTCATAAAATGCTGAAGGATGTTGTCCAGAGCCCAAAGGGACTGAAAAAATAACAACTGTCTTGTTCTAGAAGCTGGAATCCAGAAATGTTCGCTTTTTTTTTTTTTTTTTACCTGAATGATGATCAAAGCAGTTAAATAATCTTCAGTTTGATAATTGATTGTATTTGCTCTTTATGTGGTTTGTAATGAAGCTTTATGTGTCAAAAATGTTAAATTTCAGATGCAAAAATCCGATTTTTGCAAAGACAAGTTTAGTCGGTTTAGTCTGTAAAGCGACGAGTAAACGAGAGGACGAATAGAGAAAGGACGAATCGTCACATTCAGGAAACCTTTAATCAATGATCTCAGTAGTTGATTCATCCTGTAGCTTCACACAGCTGGGAAATCCTCAGAAATACAACATAAATGTGAGTAAATTTAAAGTCTTAATAAGTCTTTAAATAAGCACTGACTGAATTTCAGAGCTTTAATGTTTGATCTGAAGGTTTGATTAATTCAATTATTGATCTTTGATTCCATGAAACAGCAGAAAACCAAAAAACGTTTTGTTTTCAGAAACAAAGTGACATTTTGTTGTTGATTAATCTTCTGTCAAGCTGCAAATTTAATTCTATTTTTTTACGACAATTTATTTTTGACCAAATTAAAAATTACATTAATATCTATTCCGTATTAAAATCGTAGAATTAAACTTTTAAAATATGTGCACATTTGTGCAAAAATAAAAAGTGAAACTTCAAAAAAAAAAGTGAAAACTAATTTTTTAGAACTGATGAATCATTTTAAACATTTTAAGCCAAAAGAAAGTTTTATTTCTCAGTTTTCTATAAACGTAAATTAAATATTTTTGGGGTTTTGGATGAAATCAGAAGTGAAAATATCACTTTTACCAAATTTAGGTGTGCATTTATTCCATGTTTTGGGATTTTTTAAAATCTAAAGTTTACCTTAAACTAATCTTTTGAACATCAATCAGAGACTATTAAAGATAAAAGTCTAACTTTTTAAAAATCATGTCATTGATTTAGAATCTGCAATACTGGACAAGTAGATCAAATAATCTCTGATGTGTGAGTTGAAATATGATCATATAATTCCACAGATAACATTTTAAATGTCCATAGTTTATGATAAAAATGTTTAAAGTAAATCAGAGATGTTTGAGCAGAAAGACCCTGATGTCTTGAGATGAAACAACACACATGTGTATCAGCCTGATTAGAGTTCAACTCACAGATTTTGTTCTTAAATGTTCCTTTGTTGGCTCGCTGTTGACTTTTCTGTCTGGTTTTACACTCTGATGCTGAGGCAGCACAGCAGACAGCTTCTTCAGAGAGATCAACACTCAAAGATTATAACAGCTAGCAATCAGCAGAGGTACCCACCATTTACCATTTAGAAGCTGAAAAGAGAAAAAGAAAGCAGTTTTCCTCTCAGGAAAAGTATCTATTTTAAAACCGCAATGGGAATCACTGACTGCCTTCCACTTCCTTTAGAGGAAAACAACTTTGGGCTTCCAGGTGAAAACCCCTGTAAGAGAAACCCTCCAAAGGTCAGCTGATAGCTGACCCTGGCCAAGGTCAGTCTGTGTTCTTGTCATAAACACCAGAAGGTTTGTGATCCCGGACGAGCCCCCAAAAAAGTTGTGGAAAAACCTTTAGGTCTTCGTTCATACATTGAGAAAAGAGATTCTTCAGACTGAAACTTCCCTGATTTTGAACCTACATCTGTAACACCATCACAGAACTGAGAGCAGTGGTCACTTTAACCTTAAAACACTTCAACGTTTTGTGTTTTGTTTTGATGATGAACAAATGATTACCATATAAATAATGACTTTACAGCTGGGTCTTGTTTCTGTGTTTTTAGGAACCATGGGACCGACCCCGGACCTCGACCTCAACACCTCCGCTTGGCTCCGCCCCTGCGTCAACGCCTCCTGCCAGCCTCCCATCACAGCGGCGACCCACTACAGCACCACCCAGCTGACCCTCATCGTCACGGTGACCGCCTCCCTCAGCGTGGTCACCGTCCTCGGCAACACGCTGGTGATCTTGTCCATCAAGGTGAACCGCCACCTGCGGACCGTCAACAACTACTTCCTGCTGAGCCTGGCGGTGGCCGACCTGATCATCGGCCTGCTGTCCATGAACCTGTACACACTGTACCAGCTGCAGGGCCGCTGGCCGCTGGGGGCAGCGCTCTGCGACGTGTGGCTGGTCCTGGACTACGTGGTGAGCAACGCCTCCGTCATGAACCTGCTGGTCATCAGCTTGGACCGCTACTTCTGCATGACGCGGCCGCTCAGCTACCCGGCGTGGCGGACAGGTAGGATCGCCGGCCTGATGATCGGCGCCGCTTGGCTGCTGTGCTTCATCCTCTGGACCCCGACCATCCTGTGCTGGCAGACCGCCGGTGGACGACGAGCCGTCCCCGATGGAGCGTGCTACACCCAGCTGCTGGCCAGCCCGGCGGTCACCTTGGGGACGACACTTCCATCCTTTTACCTGCCAGCGATCGTCATGATCTGCCTGTACAGCCGCCTGTCGGCCGCCAGCCACAGCCGCCTGAGCGCGCTCCGTTCAGAGCAGGGCACGCTCAGGACGTCCAGCCCCTCCATTAAAAACTTCCTGTTGAAGCGATGGAGCTTGGTGAGCAGTGACCCCACCTCCGATGTTTCTCTGAACCAGTCAGAGTCCAGCTCGCCAAAAACCAGAAGGAAACGGAAGGCCTCCAGGAGTCCTGTTGACACGCTGGTGACGGTGGACAGCTGGAGACACCCGGTAGGTACTGAACAACCTTCAGGAGTTTACATCCTTAAATTTTACCATCCTGAGTGTCTGCACCGTAAATCTGCTTTGTGTTGATTCTGTACATGCTGATCAATGTCTGTTGGGGTTTTCTTGAACAGTTTTGTTGCCTAAATCGATGCTTTGAGCACAAACACAGTCACACACTGTATGTCCTGACGCAAAGCAGTCATTTGTGAAGTTAGAAACCTGTTATCGAAATGGAAATACGTTCACGGGAAATATCCAAAGATAAAGATCGGGGCATTTTGTAACAGATTGCTATTGACTTAAAGTGAAGCCTGATCCTTTGTTTATGTCCACTGTTGTACAGGTGTCATAAATGGGAATATTTTCCTAATGTCAACACCTTTATCGGTCTATAATTGTTTGATTTACAAGCTGCATTCAGCACACTTCTCATTGGTCATGCACTGACATAAACTATTGTTATATTTGCCATCTGATATAGAGACAACGTCCTAATTTTTCCTGGTTTGATCTAATATGTGTGTTGGTTGGAGGTCATT